TTTTTTTTTTTTTTTTTTTCTAATGCACCGACCGTTTTCCTAAAACTTAGGGGGCAAAGAAAGGGAAAAAACGTGTGGGGCTTGTGCGAAGGGTGATGGAGAAAAGAATTTGGGAGAGGGGTGTTTCATTGGTGCAATTTACTTTTGCAATGACTACCGAAAAAGAGAATGTATTGGATTACCAGGAACTAATTTTTCGGTCTGATATCTTTTTCTTCTTCTTTTTTTTTCCTTTTTTTTTTTTTTTTATACTTAAAAAGATTTCGACCTTGTAGTCTTATTATTTTAAACAACGTTCCTTGATCTGTCCTATAATTTTTATCTCATCATTTTATTTTAATCATTAAATTTCATCTCATTAATATTATTTTAGATTATTTTATATATATGTTTTTTCATTTTCTTTTATTCCCCTCGATATTTTCTTCTCCCGTTAACTAACTAACCCTTTCTTCCTATTGTTTAATTGTTTTTTTATTTTGTTTAGTTTTATCTTCATCTTTCTTTATTATTATTATTATTATTCATCGGGTTATTTTTTTTGTTTGTTTTTGCGTTCATTAATGGTGATTAATAATTCCAAAAATTTAGTTCGTACGCGTATTAACTTTGAATAATAATGGCGATATGTGTTCGGATTGACAATTTTTTTTTCTTACATTTTCCCTTTCTCCCCAATTCGTACGTTAGTCGTTTCTCTCCTGTCTCTCTCTTTCTCTCTCTCTCTCTTATTTTCACTCTTTAAATCATTCGAAGACAAATTTTCTGATAATAAACCTTCCATCTTTTCATCACATCTTCACCAATTTTTTTTTTTTTCTTAATTTTTCTGTTTATCTCTGATTTTCGCAACTGAACATTTCACCATGAAGAAGAAGAACTATAACGATTTATTTTTGTTGATGATCTCTCACGTGCGACAATTTGTTTTTCAGTTAAAGGATTGTTTTAGAAAAATTAATGTGAAATATTTCATCCCCTTCCCCTCTCCTCGTTTATTTCCATACGTTCGTTCATTCAATCCTCTTTCATTTTTATTCCCCCCGTTCCCTTTTCCTTCGTCATATTTATTACCTATTATTTTTTTCATCCTTTTCTAAGCAAGTACCAACGACAAAACTGAAGTTACGAATTTACCAAAGTGCATATAACAATAATTAAAAAATAAATAACGCGTTACAAACATGCGATGACATTCGTACGCGTATTTCCAATTCGATGAGACAGACACACTTTTTTTAATTCATTCTTTTGCAAGTTTTAATTATTCCGTAAGTTTTCTTTTTTCTTTTCCTTCTTCTTCTAACGTGGACGCGAATATGTGAAAAAATCATTCGCACCTATTTATGTAGTAATACATATATATATGTATATATATATATGTATCGTGTACGTGTGTGTATAAATCTATATGTAAGTTTTGATAATACTTCTAGGCATGCCGAAAGAGATATAAATTATTTAAAAAAAATATCACTTGCAACACTTGACGCGTAAAAAATTATTTATAAAATATATATATCCCGACGTATAATAATGTTACGCGACAGGTGGAAAAATAATCGCGACGATTTTAACGTGTATTGTGTTTTCTTTTTTTTTTTTTCATCTTTCTTTCTGTAATTATACGAGAATATTTAAAAAAAAAAAAGAAAAAATCTCACGAGTAATCAATCAGCAGTAGTAGCAGCGACAAATAATTAACACTATATCATCGTTTTACGAGATATGTGTTTCGTACTATATATATATATATAGAGAGAGAAAAATTGCAATTAATACAATTCCCCATTAGATGACTGACCGATCTTCAACGGATACATACCAACACGCATACACATATCACACGCACACACGCAACACACTGGTCTTTTTGTTTGGCTCAAGGAAGCGTCAATCAATCGATTAATTAATTAATTAATTGATTAGTTTAATTAATGCATTCACACTCGTTAATTAATTGAGCACCTCGTTTAAAAAGAAAAAAAAAAGGATTAACTAAACGAGATTTGATTGAATCAAGAAGGTATTGCTGATGATGGTGGTCTTCTCCCTTTTCCCTTTACGTTATTTGTTTTTGTTTATAAATGCAGTCTCTGCTGTCTTTTATCACGAATTAATCGTTCCAAATCTACAACTCATCTCTCTCTCTCTCTTTCTCTCTCTCTTTCTTTTTCACACAATTTTTCGTTTAACACCCTAATCGCATTCCTACGGTTTTCCTTCCTATCCCCCACCCCCCCTCCCTTTCGCCATTTTTTGCGAGAATAATTTCATTTCAATGTTTTATTAACTTGTAAAGATCAAAAAGAATTTTTCATTTTTTGTTTGTTTGTTTGTTTGTTTTTTTTTCCTTTCCAAAAGAATAAAAATAGAAAAAAATGAAAAAAGAAAAAAAAAAAAAAGGAAAGAAGAAGAAAAATTTCTTTTCCCTAATCATCATCATCATCATCATCATCATCATCATCATTATCATCATCATCATTGATCTGCTTTTCTTCTTTTTTATTTTTATTAGCACGATAGTCAATTTCGCATTGTCCTCTCCTTGTCTATCGTCAAATACCCGGTGTAAAAATTATCATCAATCATATATAATAATACGACACACGCTCGGTTAATAATAATAATAATAATAATAATAATAATATTAATATTAATAATAATATTAATATTAATAATAATATTAATAACAAGAATAATAATTTTTATAAGAATTATCATTGTTACTATTACTATTATTATTATTATTATTATTATTATCATACGTCGTCGTAGTAGTAATAGTAGTAGTAGTAGTGGTAGTAATAATAGTTTCGGATTATCATGTTGCATAATAATAATAATAATATGTCCAAATTTTAACGATCATTTTTTTTTTTTACCTGTTAGTACCTGCGACGTAATTTTATGGTTGCCTTTTTTTGTTTGTATTTTTTTTTTCGTTTTTTTTTCTTTTTGTTTTTTTTTTTTTGTTAAATCATTCTCAATCATAACTTGGTTCCTTCGACTGGCCCAAACAAAATTCGCACCATTCTAAAAAACAACATCCCCCTTATAATCGTTATCATCATCATCATCATCATCATTATCATCATCATCATAATCATAATCATCATTAATTAATTAATTGGAGAGGTTGGACGAAGAAGAAAAAGAAGAGTTTTACTTATTGGTCACTCAAATTTTTACTATCTATCTTTCTCTCTCTCTCTCTCTCTCTCTCTCTCTCTCTCTCTCTCTCTCTCTCTCTCTCTCNTCTCTCTCTCTCTCTCTCTCACTCTCTCTCTCACTCTCTCTTATTGTAATATGTTGTTTGTTAAACTAATAAAAAAAGATAAACGTAGGTGTATACTTCAAAAAAAAAAAAAAAGAAAAAGTATTATCATATATTTTACTCTCTCTCTCACTCACTTTACAATGAGAGGGGAATTTAATACTTAAATGTTTGAAAGAGAGAGAAAGAGAGAAAGAGAGAAAGAGAAAGAAAGAGAGAGAGAGAGAGAAAGGTATGAATGACCACCCTCCCCCCCCTGTTCCCCCTTCTTCATTTAGCCACAACTGTTCTCCTCTCTTTTTTCTTCTAACAATCCATCATCATCATGCTCAACCTCTTTTAAAAACTAATAATCATATGTTCTTTTTTTTCTGTTTTTTTTTTTGTCTTTAACTTCTACTCAAACCACGTATTCGTTTCTCTTCCTATCGTATCATTCGTTTTTATAAATTGTAGGTTTTTTTTTTCTTTTTCCCCCATTGTTTTCTTTTTTCGTTAATACTTGGGCTCCCCTCATCATTTACCTAAGCATGTGTGCATTCATTCACCTACGCCCTTTTCCCATAAAGAATTTACATCTTTCTACTGTATTATCTCTCTCCCTTTTTCTCTTTCTCTCTCTCTCTCTCTCTCTTTCTCTTTCTCTCTCTCTCTCTCTCTCTCTCTCTCTCTATCGTCTCTATCTCATATCTTTCTCTTCTTTTTATTATCTATCTCTTAGTTTCTAATCAATTAGTTTCACACTTTGTTAAGAGTAAAAAAAGAAAAGAAAAAAAAGAAAAAAAAAAAAAAGTAAAAGAAAAAGAGTGAAAACCAATTAACCTTAGAGCCAACGAGACGAGAACACCTATTATTATTATCATTATAGCCACGAAATGTTGATAAACGAAAATTTCTTAACGTTTAATAATTTCGGGTTTACGCATTTTTTCATTTTGTTTGTTTGTTTGTTTTGTTTTGTTTTGTTTTGTTTTGTCAATTGTTATATAATATTAAAAGCTTCTCATCTTCCCTCGTCATCACCATTAATTATTAGCAGCTGCTTATTAGGAAAACCAAAAGAAAAAAAAAAGAATAGAAGGCGAACATGAGAGAAGATTTTCCTTTTTCCCTCCCACCACACTCTATGATCATCTCATCGTAGCAAAATGAACAACGTCTTCTTCTTCTTCTTCTTCTTCTTTTCCTTCTTCTTCTTCTTCTTTATTTTATCTTCATTGTGTAGCTTCTAATTCTTCAAAATCCTTTATCATTTCTTTTATATATTCGTGTTTTTTGCAGTATCTTTCAAATCTTCATCTTCATCTTCATCTTCTTCTACTTATTATTTATCTTCTTCTTTCGTCTTCTTTCTTCTTCTTCTTCTTCTGCATCTTCTTCTTCTTCTTCTTCTTTTTTTCTTTTATTCCAAATGGGGTTTTTTGTTGCGCGTCTTATGTACACAGAGATTATAATAACAGTCAGTGGGGCCTCGCAACTTTGAGGGACGAGTTAAAGGTGGCTTGACAGGCCGTTTATTATTTAATCGCTAGAGCACGTTTGATCACCAATAGTGGACAAGGGCGTAGGGCTGAAACCACTGCTGCTAGCTAACCAGTGTCTCTTGTTAGATGTTGCTCTTCGAGAATGATACTCGAAGATGATTGGATTCGCTCAGTTGATAATTATGCATTTTCTAGAAAAAAAAA